GGTGGCTATGTGGCACCCCTCCCCCGGCCAATAGGGGACACCACATGGCCACCTTGGATGGCCCTAGCCATGTGATGTAGTAGCCCTCTTTTCATTTTTTTACATTTTCTTGATTCGACACGATTCTCAGGATTCTTGTTATGTAAATATAAAAGAGTGTTTGAAGGGTGATGTAATTCGAATCAACAATGCTCTCAATTCGAGTCATTACACGGATCACATATATTTTCTTTCTCTCTCCAACTATTGAGATGTTGATCACGGAAAAAGGAGATCTAATGATTTCTATGAGCTACTTTGACTAATTTTATTGAAACCACTTTTTTTTTTTTTAAAGTTTGAAGAGTAAAATAACGTTTAAAGGATAGAGACAAAATCTCTTAAAAATTCTATTATAACTCTTTTTGGTGTAGTTTAAAAGGTTGATAAAAATTTAAATCAATATTAACATTAATTATAAGTATACATTTTATGAAATTCACAAATTTTATCAACTTTTAACCACACATTTTATAATATTTATCAAAATTTTACAAAAATATGATTTTTAACTATCAAATAGGGGCTACGTAAAAATTGGACCTATTAAACATTTTTCAAAAATTTCTAGAATTTTAAAGGCCATGTTTGAGCCATCTTTTTGTAGAATGAAAATGAAAAATATAGCCGTTATTGGGGTCATACAAGAGATAAAAAATTTGAATTTAAATGTTGATGTAATGGATAACAGTCATATTTTTCATTTTAATGAGATAAAAAGGTGGTCCAAACGGGGGATTAATTTTATTTTTTTTAATGTAAAATGAATATAATTATAACACACAAATAGCATTAAGGAAATTGCTTTTTTTATTATTTTTTTCGATTATAGTTATAAAATTGCTCCTTTAAAGAAAAAATAAACAACATATACTTCACATAAGTTGTACTCATAATTATAAGGCCCGGCCAAAGGACTGAAAAACTTTATAAAAGTGTGTTTGATGCATATTACAATGGAAAGAATGTATTTTTTTTTTGTGATGTGATGTTGAATATGTGGTTGAAAAAGAAAGAAAAGTTATTGATGTGATGGAAAATATTATTTTATTGAAAAATATGTGGTTAAAAATGAGTAGAAGAATGAAAATCAAATTGAGAATGTGGCTCATGGGCTAAACAATGTTTGATAAATTCATTATTGGCTTCAAGAAAAGCAAAAACAAAACCAAAAAGATTGAGAAAATCACATAAGCAGTAGATTTCAAAGACAACCAGAACAACAATTTCTTGCAAAAAAAAATCCGGGAAAATAGCATCTAATTCTAATTCCATCCTAGAATCCTGTCAAGAATTATGTTCACAAACTCTATATAACATTAAACGCGAATTTCATACATCATGTGACGTTAAGGAATCTAAATAGAATACTGGAAAATATCTCATCGTCCCCTTGAAGAAGCTTCATTCAACTCATCAATTGACGCAGAAAACAGCTCTATATAACGATTGCCAAGTATCATCCTATCCTTAGCCAACGCTACTTTTGCATCGTCTACATTTGCAAATTCTACAAAAGCTTCACCGGTCGGCCTCCCATCAAAATTGTAGGTTATGGATCGAGTCTTTTGATAAGGTAGCATTCTTAAAGAAATCTAATGTCACTCTTTCCAGCTGAAAATGGCAATCCCCTCATTCGTACTACAGTTGTTGGTTCACCCATGTCCTTCCCTTCAAACGATTTTGTCAATAACCTGAATAGAAAAAGTTATTAGCAACTTTACCGGTCTCTTCTCGTGTAAAGTATACACGCATCACAAAAGTACATACCGTTGTAAATAATAGCAACTCTTTTCACATATGATTGGACAAACTATAAAAGTAAATGTAACTTCATTGGAATCATAGTACAGATTTTATCATGAAGTTATAAGTATGATCCATGCCAATGCAAAAAAAAAAAGAGCCTTGGCATATGATCACAAAGAAATGTCTAACTGGAGTTTTGGCAGTGCCTATATATATATAACATGAAAACTGCAGTTAAATCCTGAAATCGAAGTACACTCCCATTTTAGTTTATTATTAAGATAAAAAATTTACATGAAAAACTTAAAAACACAAATCACCTTGGATAATTGCAAAAAGTACACAAAATCAGATTAATGAAGAATCAAGACCTTATGAGCCCATATCACCAAGTCATCAAAAGCTATCTTAAAGTGATCAAAGGAACAGCTGAAAGAAAAAAGTCCAAAAATATCATTAATGAAGGAATGGTACTGTCGATTTCCACAGGAGGGAACAGAGAATAAATGATAACATTTTTTATATTAGGGATTCTAATTTTTACCCTTTTTTGTTAGTTTTCATTTGGGTTTTAATTCAAATTGAAAGTAACGGGAGAATTGCAGCCACGGTCCCAAACCTTTCATTTTGTCACTTACTTTACTCAAACCTTTCGTTTGTACCACCCATAGTCCTAAATCTTTCATTTCGTTGCAGCAAAAGGACTAATGGATGGATTCCATTCATTTGACTGTTAGTTGACCCAAAAATTAAAAATCTGATCTCTTTTGAACCATAAAATGAAGGGAAAATGGTCTCTTTCAATTTTTCAATTTTAAAAATATAAAAGAAATACTTTGACCTTCTTCCCCAACTCCAAATCTACCCCTCACCCCTACCCTCCCAACCAACCAACCAAACCAAACCCACCTCTAAAAATCGTCACCACCACTCAAGAATCCAACAACTCAACCTACTTAATTTATTAAAAATGAAGCTGAAGAGTCCATAATGATAACAAAATATAGTATCTTTATGATCTTAGGATTGATAGAATCCAACAACGGGAGATTCTACAATTATACGATCCTATGACTTGATCAGATCAATTTGTCATTTTTGCAATCGTAGCAAAATCTAGATATAGAGTTTAACAATCATAAGTGAGGCACTCCCAAATTTCAATTTCCTCACAAGTCCCTGGCATATCAACCTCAACTCTTTAACACACAAATAATGGAACCCACTTCCTTGCACCCATTATCTTGAAAAAGTGTTGTCTTGCTAATCTTGTTAACTTCCTGATAGCATGTTTGGCAAAGCTTGATTTGGTAAAAGTAGTTATACATACTTCTTATCCACATATTTCTTAGAACCTACAACTCACTAGTCAGTTATTATTCACACGTTCTATACGACCCATAATTTATAAGCACTTAAGAGTCCTACCAAACATTCATTAAATCCTCGCACAGCATATATTAGAAGGATAAATAGCTAAACTTTTTCCTTGGATTGGGAAAATGGCTATTCGTGTATAATTTGATAGGATTTTTTTTTTGTTAGGAAACTATTCGTGTATAATTGAATGTTGCATTTCATCATAAGACTACTAGATCCAAAGGAATATCCCTAATCTCTTCTCCTAGGGGCCAAGCTCGTTGGTGCTAACTCACAAGTGTTAACATCTTATTGTTTCACCACCATGGATTGCAATATCAAAATACAATTTTTTATTGAAGAACTTGTTCTGATGGTGAAATCGAAAGAAGGCTTCCTTCAAATATTTTTGTTTAAAAGGCTCTCCCGGCTTAATGAAGAATGATATGTTCAGTATGCACCGATTAAAGAGGCCTCCTCCAACTTAGCTTTATTTATTTATCCCTAGTTTAGTAGGAATTAAAATCTAAATTTTAATCCAAGTCAAAGTCAAAGTCAAAGTCAAAAATTAATTTTAACAACATATTTCATGGGACCCACAATTTTTTTTTAACCACACATTTCACCAACTTTTATCAAAATCTACTAAAAGTCAAATTTTAATTCTCACCAAACAATGGCTTAGGTTTTCATTTGAGTATTTAGCCTATATTTGGCTCATGTTTATAAAAAGTTTATAAATACTGAAGCCACTTTTTATCCGTGCATATTCGAGGGACCCACGGTACTAACTACTTATTTATCACTCTTTTCTATCTATTTATTAATTAAACAGTTTATAAACACTCCTCAAACATCCTCTTTAGTATTTCCCCCTCTATTTCCACGTTTTTGTATAAGATACGGCTAGCGTGTCTATCTCAACACATACCTACAATGAGAAAAAGAAGCAGCCATCTATATACCAAAATTGTGCATGTTCGAAGAATTTTATGGCACGCAATGGGTGTCAAAATGCTGAGAACATGCACATCTACGAATTTTAGCTTTATTTTTTGTAAGAGTTTGGAGGTGACGATAACTCGACCTTGTTGAGTCGAGTTAGAGATCAACTAAACCACGTTTTCTCAACCCTATAGAGTCCAATTGACTTGAGCTAGGGCATGATATAAATATTTAGTTCTTTCTTTTCTCTTTTTACTTCTCTTCTTCTAGTCTTCGTATAACCAAAAAAAAAAAATCAGTAGTTAGATTTTGAAACCCAATTGTGATCTTCACTTCTCTCCAAAAAGTTGTTCCAATCACTGTAATCAAGTACATATATTGTTCATTTTTTCTCTTCCATTGCCTTGAAAGGTTGAGGATGGAATTGAGCCAATGAGAATGATTGATTACTAATAAAAGAGCCACTACGAAGAATTTCCATGATTAATGAAGAACGCCTAGAAAACGTATTGATATGGTTCGTGAAATGGGGTTGCACACAGTGTTAGCAAAAATTGGAATGAGTTAGAATAAGGAAGGGAGACCAAAACTAACATGGGATGTCGTATTTGTTAAGGATCCAGATTGCTTTGGTTCTTATAAGGAGTCAACCGAATGATAAAAGGCAGAGAAAAAGGATTCTACAGCCAACCTCAATTTTTTAGGGAAAAATCTTATAGCTTGTTTATCTTTCATTATAATCTCCTTATAATTTAAAGGTTAAGCAAAATTTTAACTTTAACCACACATTTTATAGGATCCACAATTATTACTCACTTATCCACCAATCATTCCTATCACATTATAGTTTCACCAACTTACTTTGAAACCCAAACAGGCACTTAATGTTTAGTTGTTGTAAACCAAATGAGCATTGCTGCTATGAAATAATGAATAATGAAGTGCGGCCTGCATCTTCTAAGAAACTTCTAAAATAATGCCCTTTTCATTTTTACCTTATCATCTTTTCCAAATATTAAATCCTCAATCCAAAAATTATGTAGGAGAAAATTATGAAGTGATTCAAATAAATCTCACATGAAACAAAACTTGAGAGCTAAAATCCCTTCAGTGACACCATGTGGGTTATTAATGGTAGCTAGATGCCATCAACATTTATCTAACAACAGTGCCAAATAAATATCTATAATTCTAAGAGTACCGTGTAAAATAGTTTCAAAGCAAGTGAATCATGGTTAGTAAATAAATTATGGGAACAGTGCTCTATGCAAAACATAGAAGAGTTAAAACAAACTACTATATGAATTAGATTTGTCGGTTTGGTATACTCTTACATACTATTCATCACAGGAAATATTTAGAAGCAGCTAAAACAACAGACAAGAATTAATTAAAGTAAATTAAAACTAGCAAAATGCAAAATCAATAGTGACACCAAGAAAATGAAGCAATGAATAGCAACGAGGAAAAGCACACAAAAGATAGTCACCTGCCACTGGAAGCTGTTTCTTCCAACTCCTCCTGTGATGAAGGGAAAAGTTCTATATAGCGATACTTCAGGGTCATCCTATCCTTAGACATAGCAGCTTTCGAATCTTCAGCACTTGCAAACTCCACAAACGCTTCTCCAGTTGGCCTTCCCTCTGAATTAGCTATCATATGAATTTTGGATTCAGAAAGCACAAAATCCTTAAAAAAAACCATAATGTCCTCCTTGCTGGCAGTGTACGGCAACCCCCTCAATTGCAGGACCCCAGTATACTCTGCCAGGTCCTTCTCATCAAAAGATCTAGCCCTCGGTACACCACGACGAGACAAACCACCCTGTGAATCGTAAATTTCATTTGCTATGGCCTTATGGTATTCATCCTTTCTGCTTTGAAAGACCTCAACATATCTCTTACCAATAGTTTCCCTATTCCTCAGCAGGGCGAAATCTATTTGAAGAGGATAACCCAAAACGCAATAAGCTTCCCCAGTGGACTTGCCCCCCCTTGTGGACAAACAGGACGTCTACTACATCTAAATCATAGAAGAAATCAACAATTTCAGCCTCCGTGCAATCAAAGGGGAGGCCTCGAAGCCGAACCACAGGGAAAGGCGGGGGAATGCAAGAATACGAAGGAGGTGGTGGAGGTGGAGCATTGTATATATAGCTAGGAGCAGGAGGAGTTCCATAATATGAAGACCCCTGATCCATCAATCGCTGCCGTTTGAAACCCATTTCCTGTGCATCTCCGCCATCCACAAATTTACTTTTTTTCATACAAACACATAGACATTCACCTGGTCAGTACTGGAATCATGGACAAACAACATATAGACTACTTTCCTCCAACTCCACCATTTTTTTCATAGATGAGACTCTTAATTATTATCTTCAAATAAAAAGGAAAACTAGAAAAAATAAGCATACCGCTACTAAGGAAAACGTAATTTGTATAAAAAAAACCCGGTCTAAACAACCTAAATCTTGATAAACGTCTAATAATTTGGATGATTGCTGTATTTATAAATATTTAAACAACCAGGTATCTAAGAACGCAATAAAACTAGAAAATAATAATGATAACGCCCATTTGGCAGCATGAAATTAGGTTTCCAAAATTTGATTTCTTCAAAAAAGGAAAAACAATACAAACAAATTAAAATCCTGGGTATTGAAAAAAAATAAAATTGAACCTTGCATTAGACCAACAAAAAAAAAAAAAAAAGAAAGAAAAAAACAAAAAAAAAAAAAAAATTAAAAAACCCGACCTCATGCGCATACGGGCCGAGCCGGCTCGGCTTGACCCATTGCCGCCGCTAGCAACAAGGCTTTCGTAGGGTCGATATATTTGAGCCGTTAGACATTATTTAGCTAGAAGTAGGACCGAACCACTCCGAAATCTGTGTTATGTTTTATTTTCATTATTAATATAATATGCCACTCCATAGTGGCTTAATTAAAAAAAAAAAAAAGGCAATTAATAAGTGTTATAATATATCTATATTCTTTCTTGTCCAATTATTTTTATTTTGTCGTACAAATTATCGTGAGTGATTGCTAACTAGTCATCAATCTTGATGAAGTGTCATTTAGGTCAAGTGGTTCATCTGCCGGTTTGGAGCTAAAAATTGCTAACCATTTATAATTTTGTTATGTATACAACTAGTGAAACTAATCTATACAATAATAATGAATAATGTTATTCATAGTAAAGATTAATAATAATCGTCTTATGTGACGTATTTGTGGCAGTTTGTTTTTTGATGAATTAACGTGGTAGTTTTTTATTGCCTCATATATCAAATAACAAACAGTCGTATGTATGTCACGTAGAACGACTATCGATAGTTTTCACTACTAATCACGAGATTTGAGCATTTTTCAGTATTATCTACGAGATTTCAAAATGATACTAAAAAGTGTGTTATGTCCCTTGATATTAATTTATCAGTTTTGAACATGA